TAGCCCTTCAAAAATTTAAGTCCAAACTCCTCCTTCTCCCCTTCTCAACACTAAAACACTAAAAATTGGTTTCAGATGTAATTAAATATAAACCTGCATGTAAATTTGTTACGGTTTTGCCAGTCCCTAAAACTGTGGTCCTGTGCCACAGAACCTAATTTCAGTTTACCATTTACCAAGAAAAAACAATCTTCATTTAAATTTTCAGCACCATGCTGTAACTTGCTGTATGAATAGGTATTTTGTAATGGTTCCAAAGGACTACTTGATTTCATCTAAGCCAGGGGTTTGCAAACTATGATGTGTACCCATACTTGGCAGGAGAAAAAATTATTTGTGGGGGCTGGAGGAGTGCGTGGTAGGGGTGCTGGGTGTGGCGCTGCAGCAGCGGGGCACAGTGGTGGTGCTGGAGCAGTGGAGCTAAGCACACATGGGGCACTGGTGTGGCTGCACACTAAGCAGCGTGAGCGCTGAGGGAGGGCAGCACGGAGGTGCTGCTGCTGTTGCCAGTAGTCGCAACATTAGTTTGGGAGGCTAAGCGATGTTAGCCCTAGCCTTCTGCCACCTATGTGTACCCCTGTGGGTATGCAAGACATCTCTGAGGGGTATGTGAGAGAAATTGTGTAATGGTGGATTTAATTTTCATTATAATAATTGGCATTTAATAGGGTTAAAATATAAGCTGGTAGGGGTACACTGGCAGCTGGTAAATCTGCAAGGAGGCACTTGATTTAAAAAAAAAAAAATAAAAATAAAAGTTTGGGAACTGCTGATCTAAGCTATTCAGTAGAATAATGACGGTATACTTGCCATTTACTCTTTAACAAGTAAAAATATTCAACTTTAGGAGAATAGGTATGGTATAGTATCTGAAGGAACAAAGGTCTGGCTCAGTAGTATCTAGTCAAGGAGCAAGTAACTGGAAACAAACAAGGATAAGCATTACATTTATATCACTAAATATGCCCTTGTAGCGCTACAAAATGTAAGCATACAGCAGTTCAAGCTGTTTATAACA